GGAGCTCGATCCCAGACCCTACATACATACATACATACATACATACATACATACATATATATATATATATACAGATATAAGTAAATACATATATATATATATATATATATATGTATGTATGTATATATTGATAGGTATATGTACACGTATGTCTTAGGGATTACGGGGTAAAGTCACTCACAGAGTACTCAGGATTAGCATTCCTCGTGCGGAGTTCTCCAGAGTCGTGGAATAGTTTCATGTTCTGCAGTCGGCATTCCATGTACTAAAACTCTGGGGTTTAGGGGTTTTGGGTTTAGGGTTTAGGGGATTAGGGGTTTAGGGTTTAGGGCTTAGGGGTTCAGGGTTTAGGGTTTAGGGCAGCAGGCACACAGTTTTACATCTCCAAGCAGACAACATAATCGACATCATCTGGCGACGGCTTGTGATTGAAAATGCAGCCACTGAACTTCGGAAGCAGTTGCGGGCCTTTGTGGCATGGCGGGACGGCTGCACTCCCTCAAAGCGCATATCCACCTCATCCCGTTGGTGGCGCCTGTGCAAGCTTTGGAGGAGAGTGCGCAGCCGCAAACAGCAGCTTGAGGTGTTGCTGCGGTTTTGGCGCCTCTCGAACTTGCACCTTGTTCGCAGAACGTGACTAGGTGCCATATCTAAGGTGGGTCCGGTGGTCCAGACCCCCAGCCCTTTCTAACTTGCTCGTTTTTGGTATGTCCACGTCCGCCTGCACTCAAGGAGGGCGTGCTCAGACCTGCGTCAGGAGCAGCCGAACTGGAGGAAGGTCCAACGGACCCTTGCCACCGGGGCATTTGGCACTCTCCACCCCGAAGGCAAAATGTGTTTCATCTCGCGCGGCCTTGCTTAGGACGTGGTTTGATTAATGCAGTCAATGCGTTGGGAGCAGGGCAGCCGTAGATTCAAAGTCGAAGACAAATCAGGGAAATGCGGTACGTGTGTTGGAGCGGAGGCTAACGAGGGCTTAGCTTGAGCGTGTCATGGACAGGGCACCGCGCCACGCACGCGCCCGGGTTCGAGGGCCTGACTCTGGCAGAGCGCGCCGTCATTTCGCTGGTTGCATTTTGAGCTGGTTGTGGACAAGATTTCTCATCCAATCACAGCAACATTCATGTTGCCGGGACATGTTCAGGACCGCAAAATCTCGTAGAGGGCTGTGTATATTTATGTGTTTAGGGAAGTAGCCCAAGCGGTTACCTTTTTCCTTACCCGTGAATGCCAAAGAAACATGGACACAGGTTGCAATCCAAAACTAAATAAATGCTTCAAGGCTCGGGGGTCGGAGTTGTGCATGGACAGGCGCATGGCCTTGGGAGCCGCGCGGCGCCATGCTGCGGAGCTCGCACCAAGCCTTGCATGAGAGTGCTGGAGGTCGGTGGCTGGACAGTCGTTGGACGACCTCCAACAGTCTCTTTGCGAGTGGCAGAGGCACGAGCGACGCTCAGAAAAGACACGAAACGGGCAATAGTACACAACACCCATATGTATGTATGTATATATATATATATACATATAAGAGAGAGAGAGAGAGGGAGAGAGTAGGCTGACTTGGGCTTCACAGGCTCTGAGTTTGAACATGACTGAAGGTCCAGAAGGTTGAGGGCTCAGGGTGCATCTTGAAGTAGACTTTCGGGTTTACCCCTAAAACTTAAAACCTCAGACCCTAAACTCCTAAACCCTAAACCGAAAAGCGTATCTTCAAGCCTTGAAGGCCTCACCTTCAGGACTGTGCCATGTGGAGACCACTGCGGCAGCAGAGTAGGTTGCAAAAATTCTGAAGATAATCTAGGGGCTCTAATAGGGTTTAGTAATTAATTGTACTATCGTACTATTTGGGTGGGGTTCCTTATTATAAGTACAGTATACTACACCCCAAACACCAGAAAACTTATTGCCCCTACATCATGCTCCTCTTGCAACCATGCTGTTCGTGCAAGAGCTCACACTTGCGAGATGAAGATTTCTTAGCAGTAGAATAGGTAAACTCGTAATCTTGTGTTGGGGCGTAGCATAGCCCTGAATTATTTCGAAAGGCTAAGTTTTAGTTCCCCTAGGATACTGGACACATAAGTTTACCTCTTGGACGACCAGGGTGTCGATGTTAATTTCCATGTTGCTTCGGGTTCTGAGGTGTTCGCCAATACATGTTATGGCATCCGAGTGTACTAGCTACAGTGTACAGTATCGTATCCCACAGCAATAGTCTAACATAACATAGCGGGCCACAGCATGGCATGGCATGGCATGGCATAGCTGCATAGTCTACTGTAGTGAAGCGCAGTGCATTGTAGTGTGGAGTAGTGCAATATAACAACTTGCCACATCGTACACCGGTTCGAACTCCCGTCCCGTGTCTGGGTCGCGGCATCTTCTTCAGCATGATCTCTGCATGCTATAGGGTCGTAATCCCTAAAGACTAAAACCGCACCATACCCGAAACTGTACTCTAATGTTGCAGGCCCTTACATTTACAGATTTTCCGAAGTCCCTGAAGTACGGAATATGCTTCAAGTCATATGAGGGATGTTAGTATAACTTTCGGTATACTCTTGAGTTATAGGACTATAACTTTCGGTATAGTCCTCAACGACAGGATTCTGCGGTGCCTTGAACCATTAAACCGTATGAAGGATCCTAGTAGAACTTTCGGTATAGTCCGTAACTAAAAGACTGTATAGAAGATCTGGGTTAGGCATGACCAGTACCTCTTTTTCGACGGCATCTTCACAGGAGCCTTCAACGAGGCATGAGATTGGGTTTTAGGGTTTCGGGTTTAGGGTTCAGGGTTGGGTTTGCCCCCAGCTGCTTTCGACACCTTCGACCTTGCAGGCCGAAGAAAAATGCCTGAATAGTTACCGACATTATTCACCGTGTCTAGGGTTTCCTGAGGGTTCCTTATTGTGATTCAACATATACTCTACCCCTAAACCCTGGTCTACTTCTGAGTTGAGGTCCCCATAGTACTGCAGGCCTGACCACAGAGGGGAGCTGAATATTGCGAAATGCTAGTCGCCAAGCTCCTTGGTATAGTTGTAGCATAGAGCCTCCAGTCTACCTATCCACGCCCCCCTAAAGCGCTCGAAATCCTGAACTGCGGATTGTAACCCTCATCCCTGGCCCCTCTCACTACATCTCGTGATGTTGTGCCTGGCGATAGGCTTCAATAGCAAGAGCATGGTTTCGGGATCTCTTGCAAAAGGACGAGTAGGCACACAGATAGACAGATGGACTGATAAAGAGGTACATATAGACAGATAATATAGGAACCTGATTAAGAAACCCAGTGCCTTTAATGGGGTTCTTAATATTAAACCTAATATTGGGGTTAGGTAGGTAGATAGATAGGTGGATAGGTAGGGAGGTACACAGGTAGATAGGTAGATACTGGAAGCAGTCACCTGCCTTCGTCCAGGGATTCCCGCCAAAGGAACAACGCATAGTGCGCTGGCTATCTTGCTAAGAACTACAACCTGTTGATGAAAAGGAGCTTGACCACCATGCTGTACGGTTTGGGCAAGTATCCAGGATGCGAAGCAACAGTCCGGACTGCCTCATTAAAGCCGTAAACGCCAAACGACCACAGTGCAGGTTTTCCCAGATCAGGACTGGCAGGTCCTTCCGCAAGCGTCCGGGCCTTTAGTGAGATTGGAGGCTCTTCTTTGGACTATCCTGGGGCTTAAATGATTACCAACTTTGTTTCTCAGGGCTCCTTATCATAACATGATTCTGGAGTACCCCTATATTATGCGATCTGCCTTTTGGATCATGAGGTTGCTGCCTTAGCGGCGTTTCGCTCGCGGGCACTTCTGCTCCCCCCCACTACCCCCCAAAAGAGTTTAGAACTTAGGGCTGCAAGGCTTGAGGCGGGTTGCGAATGTGTGCGAAGGTCTCAAACGGTATGGGGGTCCTGTAGGCCACAGTCCCTCAATGATTGAATATTCCAAGAGATATTAGTAGACAATACTGGCCGAATATCAGTAGGATGTCGGTTTGGCGGCATTGGGGTACGGTTTAGCAGCATAGGGGTACTGCCGCAGGGGTCCCCTCTAGCATGCCTTAATTGAATCCCCCTAAACCCTCAACCCTCAAGAAATGAATATTGCCCCCCCCGAGACCCTAAACCCTACACCCTAATAATCAATATTCCCTGAAACCCTAAACCCTAGACCCTCAATCAATGAATACTTCCCCTAGACCCCAAACCCTAGACCCTGAATTAATCAATATTCCCCTAAACCCTAAACCCTAGACCCTAAGAGATATTCGAAGCTCTTGGAATGTCTAAGAACCTACCTGCTAACTCCCTCGAGCCTCCATGTCCGGGTATATTTTGCTTACAAGCGTCTGGAACCTTAGAGCACTTTCTGGGTTTAGGGGTTTAGAGTTTACGGTTTAGGGGTTTGTGGGTTTAGGGGTTTAGAGTTTAGGTTTTATGCAATCGGTCATGGGTCTGTGGGGTTGCGGGGTTTAGAGTTTAGGGTTTAGGGGTCTGTGAGTTGCGGGGCTTCGAGTTTAGGGTTTAGGGGGTTGTGGGTTGCGTAGTGCTGCTTGGTGGCGAGCGAATGGATGGCTGGGCCACGCACACCACGCACAACCTGGTGGTTCGGGGCTGCTGACCTCGGCCTCCGCAATGCCCAGCGAAAACTTCAATCTTTGCTTACCTTAAGAACCCAAAACCCCACTTGTTTGTAGGTTCTCATTATAAACCCTAATATGCGATTTACAGGGACCCGACAATAAAGTAGGTTTGGGGTTCTTAAGATAGATCTCGCGAAGCTGCCACCTGCTTCCTCCAAGAACTGGAACACACCTTACTTGGAGGATCGGGGGACTTGGAAAGTAGATACTAAGTAGTTATATGTAATCTAAAAGGGATCCTAATTGGGGTTATGGTATATAAAATAGCTAGTTACTAAGTCCCCCGGCCCTCCAAGTACCTCGTAGCCGACGGGGCACTGGCCCAGCTGCGCAGCTTGAACCGGGTTTCCGCTGCTTCTTCTGGGAAGAGCAAGCATTGCCGCAAGGCAACTGAGGCTCTTCCTTGCTTTGTACGCGTAATATAGGAACCTGACTAAGAAACCCTGTGCCTTTAATAGGGTTCTTAATATTAAACCTAGTATATTGGGGTTCTAGGGCCAGGGTTGCTTATTCAGGTTCCTACATTACCAACCCTGGCGAACAACGAGGTTCAGGGTTTAGGGTTTTGCATGAGCTTAGAGCTTCTCCGAGGCCCTTCTACATCGGTGGCTTCAAGGAAACCACGATGACAGGACTGGGCGCGCAGCCTTTCTAGTTGACCTTCATCGCTCTCGGCTAGGCAATAGAGGAGCCTGAAAGTTAGACTGGGGTTTAGGGTTTAGGGTTTAGGGTTTTGGGGTTCCTGCGGGTGCCTGGTAAACTTACAGTACTACTATACCCAAGCTTTTCGTCTAAGGTGGCTCCTCGGAGGATCATGGAACTTAGCGCGTAAGGCTGTAAGTGCTTGCAGCTGGGTTGTAAGGAATTGAAAGAGTTACCTTGATATCCCCTAATCCCCAAACCCACAACCCAAGGCCACCAGGATTCGCCATGGCTGGTGTTGGTTGTCTAGGGCTCTACGGGAAATCTCCTAGCGTTCAAGGCTAGATCCTGCAACTTTGAGCGTTTTCCACTGGGTGTTTATGAGGCTTCATACATGGTTTAATAAGGCGTTTATGGAGTGTGTTTAAGAAGGTTTGGTTTAAAGCTACAAGTTGTCCGCTGTGTTTCGTGCAATTGACATTGTTGGATTTTTTGTCTGTGCCTTTGGGATATTTGAAAACGGCATTACTTGTGTATGTGTTCATTGAGCTTCTTTGTGACAGAGTACAATGGTCTTGCTTTTGCGAAAAAGCAACAACTAAGACACAGGGGACATGTTTTTTTCCTGTAACCTGCTTTTGCTAGCGCGGTTTCATGGGGTTCTAAAGTAGGAGTTCCCGGAAAGGAAATCTCCGACTTCTCGAACCAAGTCCCGAACTGTCGCCCTGGTATTGACAGGATCGCAGGGCTCTGCAAGAAGGTTCTTAGCGGTACTTGGAAACAACGTTCAGATACTAGAATCCCAAAGAAACAGCCGTGAAAAGAAAAAGCTCAATGGTGCTAGGGGTAGAGCTAGGTCAAACCGAATTACGGTGCTTATGATTTTATATCTGTAGCCTACTAAGAGCAAGGCTAGACCATGAACCAACGGATCTGGGATCCAACGATACAAGGCTGAGTAGTACCCTTTTGCCCTTTCTATTGTATGGTTCCCTTCATTAAGTGTTTAAATCTGAATAACAGGAAAACTGGGACCCTTAATTTTTTTAGGGGTCACTCAGGAACCTAGGAGCCCTGCAAGACGTTCGGGTCTCTCCTTGTGTCTTTCATAGGGGCCTTAGTAATTAGACTAGGGTTTCGGGGTATATGCTACGTATAGTAAGGGGGCCAAGACTTGTAGTGGTGGTTATCTAGGCCCCTATAGTCGGATTTAACATTGACATTATTTCCCCCAGGGGCCAGACCATGGGGTTTAGCAAGTGGGGTTCAGACATAGGGTTTAGGGTCTAGGGTTCAGGGTTTAGGGTCTAGGGTTGAGGGATTAGGGTATAGGGTGGGTGCTTGTTTAAGATAGTACACTTCAGCAGGTTACAGACCACACCACACCTAGTGGATTTAGATGTCAGGATTTCGAGATCTGTGAACTGGCTCCTACAGTAGGTAGGCAGTTCTCCAAATTAGGGTCCCCTATTTTAGAGAATTGCCTACCACGTACGGTGACATTCAGGCATAGCTAGCCTATCGGTGCCAGAACCTGGAAAGCAGACCCCAAACCCTACTCCCAAAACTCTGAAGCCAGGAATTGAGTACCCACATCTCCATGTAAGCACGGGAAGCTTGCATCTAGATTTATGTTAGGTTTCAGGCTTTAGGCTTTTGAGGCATTGGCGTTAATGCTCAGGGTCTACTACAACCCCGTGACAACAGAACGCCGGCATCATTTGCAAACAGTTTGGCAGGATTCGTGGTATGGCCTTTGGGACGAGAGCCGGGTTCATTCACCAAACGTCTACACAAAAAAGGCGGAGACACCGAGACCTTGTCCGAGCTGGCTAGTGCGGAGGCCTGAGCAACGAAACCCACCACACCAAAATGAATTCTATTCGCATAACCCCCTAAGATGTTGTCCTAAACCCTAAACCCTAAACAAGATGTTGTGCCCGGGATGCCTTCATCATTCCTTGCTTTCGGACGCCTGTAGAGACCCAAGACCCCCCGACGTTTGCCCCCTAGCCCTATAAACCCTAAACCCTAAACTCCTAAACTCTAAACCCCTAAACCCCTAAACCCTAAACCCTAAACTCCTAAACCCCTAAACCCCTAAACCCTAAATCCCTAAACTCCTAAACCTTAAATCCCTAAACCCAAAACCCAAAACCCTGAACCTTAAACCCCGCGAGCCAGGAAAGGGCCAGTTCTTCTGGCCGAACGGTGCGCCCTTGTTCAAGGCCCGCTCTCCTCTGGTATGGGTTTCGGGTTCAGGGTTTGGGGATTATTAGGGTTTAGGGCTTATAGGGTTTGTAGGGTTTATCGGGTTTAGGGTTTATGGAGTTTATGGCTTATAGGGTTTATAGGGATGCCCGTACGTAAAAGATCATGGGACTTAGGCACTCTCAGGGTTCCTTAAAGGCTTCTACCAAGGTATCTATGGGGGGGGGTTTTAGGGTTGCTTAAAGGATCCATGGGTAGCTGGGATTATTATTAGAGTTTAGGGTTTAAGGTTCAGGAGGGTTAAGATTCCCCAAATAGAATCTGGGTCCTTGCTGGCTACAATTTTACATTTTTTGTTATAATAAAACCCATTAAGGATTAAAAATATAGCCCCAACGGGAAACCAGATCAGGGTAACTGTACATGTAATTGCTTATAAAACCCATAAAGGTACTTATGAAAATACCTGTTAAATTCCATGATCCTCCAAGCCCCAAACCCTAAACGTGGGCACTGAGTAGGTAACCTTTGAGGTTTTGGCTTGTAGAACTTAATACTGTAATTTAAAAGGTTAGCCGTTTTGGGGATAGGGTACTCAGCCCCACAGGAAATCCCAACTCAACTGAGGACTCGCTATATGGCATCTAGGGTAAGGTCCAGGGCCTGCCTGGACCCTAAAAGACCTACCTTTGGCTTAAGTTTAGGGTTGAAACCATGGGCCCCTAGTATGGGCCCTTAACCCTGGGATCCTTATATACCTACTCTATACCCTATATGAAGCCTTAAGGAACCCTGGAACCCCCCTAAGGGCCCATATTAGGGCCCATACTTCTAACCGTTGGCTTCAGAGCAAAAGCATGGCGTTTTCTGAGGATGCTTCAGGCTCGGGGTGCTGGGGCCCTAACCCCTAAACCCAAACCCTAAAACCCTAAACCCTGAACCCTATAAACCCTGATCCCTAAACCCTGAACCCTAAACCCTAAACCCTAAACCCTAAACCCTAAACCCTGAACCCTAAACCCTAAACCCTGAACCCTGAACCCTAAACCCTAAACCCTAACCTCATTCGATGAGGGACCCGGGGATGGCAGGATGCCTGAGTCCAGCGCCGGCGAAAGAGGCAGGATCGCCTTATTCTAGGTTAGAAACCATGGGCCCCTAGTATGGGCCCTTAAGCCTGGGATCCTTACATACCTACTATATACCTTATATGTATCCTTAAACCTTCGACTTATCCTGAAGTCAGCGATACTGGCCAAGCTTGCAGCCAGCCGCTTACGGACTGGCATGGCCAGCCTTCAGAACATCGCCGCCGAGTGGTCCATGCGGTGGAAGGTCGGTACACAGCCGCCATGATCCGTGAACCCCTATAAACCCTATAAACCATAAACTCTCTATAAACCCTAAACCCGATAAACCCTATAAACCCTATAAGCCCTAAACCCGCTAAACCCTATAAGCCCTATAAACCCTATAAACCCTACGAACCCTGTAAACCCTATAAACCCCTAAACCCCCCATGATCCGTGACGGCTCAGACCGAGCTCTCGGCAGAATGAGGACTACCCAGAGACTCCAGAATACACCTTAAACCCTATCTGGGCTTTGGAGTGCCATACGTTAATACTTTTTTCGGACCTGTTCCTTAAAGGAACCATTATGGAATAAAAGTCTATACTTTTTTCTCCCTGGTTACTTCAAAGCCCAGTTATTAGGGATCCTATTATAATTTAAGGTATATTCCTTCATTAAGGGGTATTGGAGTCTCTGGGTACATATCCGAGGGTTCAGAAGGCAATCTTCTGGACAGCAATCTCCATCCGGGTAGTTCTCTAAATTAGGGTCCGTTTCTAGGTCCCCCAAAATAGTACGGCACCCTTATAAAAAGGACCCCAAAAGGGACCCTAATTTAGAAAACTACCCAATCCACAGGCGGCTCCCAGACCTGAAGACTCTCGCCACATCCTTGGGGACCAAAAGACCCTTATAAGTAGGGGACCCATTCCCTTATACTATGAATCCCCATATGGTATATGAACCTTAAACCCTTTTGGGGTTCATGTCGTCCTTAAGGATGCAATCTCTTTTCGACCTCGGTGCCCAGCGATATATGTCAACAGTCAGCGACAAGGTTGCTTCAGATCCATATTAGGGTCGTTTGTTTACTGAAGCTCCCAAATGCTGAAGCCCAAAACCCCAAAAATCTCGTACACGGGCTCGCTCGGGAGTATGCTGTAGAAGGTAGAGTCCCCCAAAAAAGCCCCCTTACAGCCTCTGGCTGCTTTCAACCCCCATCTACCGCAACTCGTGAGCCTCCAGAAGCATTTCGAAGCTACCAAGCATGCCAAGCCCTGGAGGAAATAACGTCATATTGTTGATGATGTAAATCCTGCATTACCTTAAGGACCCTAAACTATGGGAATTATGGTATATTCCTTTTTATGGGTACTGCAGGGTTTATATCATCAACCGTATCGGGGCCTCAATACTTAGAATAGGGCTTTTGGGATACTAAAAGTTGTAATGAGCAGCCCTTCGGAATAGTCCGGGTAACAGGCCCCTTAAGCCCTGAACCCTGAACCCTCAACCCTACACCGAATGGTCCTTTTCACTATGCAGGATGACACAAAACAATACTACACCATACTACTCTATACCATTCTGCGCTGATCTACACATGAAATACTCTCCTGTTCTATGCTGTACGCCACTATACTATTCTGCACTTTCCTAAACTATTCTATGCCATACTACACTCTAATACTATGCTATACTCTACTACATAAAAAAACTATGTTGTACTACGGTGTACTCTTCTATACTACACTACTCAGGGTACTATATTAGGGTCCCCTATTTTCGGAAACCCCCATGTACTCTTCTATACTACATATTAGGGTCCCCTATTTTCGGAAACCCCCATGTACTCTTCTATACTACGCTACTCAGGCCCCTCTGTGAAGCGCAAACACCTTCCCAGGGAAGCCTGAAGTCTGGCAAGCTGGTGGAGGGCTTCATGTTCGACGCCCTTTGCCTTCATCATCCCTGTAATAGTGGTGGAGGCTGTTGTAGTGGTAGAAACAATGATAAGGTGACCTTTGCTTTCATCATCCCTGTAATAGTGGTAGAGGCCGCTATTGTAGTTGTAATAATGATAAAAGTGGAAATCATGGTAAGAATTATTGCCGCAGTGGTAGTAGTAGTAGTAGTAGTAGTAGTAGTAGTAGCAATACTCGTAGTAGTAGTAGTAGTAGTAGTAGTAGCAGTAGTGGTAGTTGTAGTTGTTGTTGTTTCAGTAGCTGTGATCATATGCGATGCCTCTTGCCTTAATTTTGCTAGGTGGGGTGTGTGTGTGTGTGTCGGTGTGTGTGCATGCATGTGTATGTACATATAGATATATAGATGTACATATGTATATGAATATGCGTGTATATATATATATGTAAATATGAACATATATATATATATATAAATATACATAAAATCTACTTTCCTGCGTCCGAATATAAGCGCTCATGCAGAATCTATATGGGCCTTAAACCAAGTAGGTTCTGGTCGGTTAAGCTGTCTGCACATGTATCTACATACACAATGTGTATATATATATATACAGACACATCTACTTATTACCAGTAGACTCGGAGTTCAGGTAAGGGGCTGAGGGATGTTCGACGCGGTTTGCCTGCATTCTTTGGGTCCTCCAGGGTGTAAGGCTCCAGGGTTTCAGGCAAGCAATTGGGGTACACATCAGGGGTTTGGCGAGCTTAGGAATGTGGTTTTATACCAGCCAAGCGACCTCTCCAAGATTTGCCTTGCTCTCACAGTGATGTACCTTAGCATGGCTGCTGGGCTGGTCAGGAGGTACTAACCGTACTGACCTCTTCAAAATGCCTTGCTGCTTAGTGGCTGGGTTCACAGATGAGAGTACTGTTACGCGCCTCACGCGAGCCCGGTCACCACCGTGTGTTTCCGGCGCATGCCGCTGACCCCAGCGCGCGTTGGTTGTTGTTGCTTCGAGTTTTGCACTCCCCTCAGAAGTAGGTGCCGTGTGCTCAGTTCAGTCGCGACTCCAGTCTTCATGTCCTTCTTGGAGATTCCATTCGGGTACGGCCCGATCCAACGGGAAGTGGCCACGTCATGCAGCAAGATGTGCAGCCCAAGCCTGCTTTCGGCCAGCCAAAGCTGACCAGCCATACTTTGGTAATGCCCCCGATTTTGTAATAGTTGGATAAGATATATATATATATATATACATATATCAATTATATAGACATATACATATATACAGCCCTTTATACGACAACTAATGTACACTGCATGGTTTATTTGTCGCAATCGGCCAACAGTCTGCCAAGGAACAGCAGTGCCAAGTGGGCCAATCAGCCATGTCGAGCGTTACGACAAAAGTTTAGGGTTTGTAGGGCCTTCATAACGAGACTTGGGTTTTGCGGTACATTCTAGTATAAACTCCGAAGGATAATCCCAAACGCTGAACAGGTGGTTTGGTTTGTTTGTTGGAACGAGGGTTGGGGCTCCCTTTATGAGGGAGGAAGGGGGGGCGGGGAAGAATCCTCATCACAAGCTCCGTTAAATTCAGGTAGGCGATGTTCCGACTCGCCCTAATAAACCCTAAACCCTAAACTCTAAACCCTAAACCCCCAAGCCTGAGCCATTCCTGACCGCGACTCCGCTTGAGCTCGCGCTGAGTGCTGAGGAGCGCTGCATTTGCCACGGCCACTTCCGCTTTCACGAGGCACCGGAGAGCCGGAGAGCTCTTCCCCAGAGAACCCAAGACCCCACCCTCGAGTCTCCTTAAACCCCAAAACCCCACCCTCGAGTCTCCTTAAACCCCAAAACCTCGAGTTTAGGGTTTAGGGTTTAGGGTTTAGGGTTTCGGGCTTACAGAGACTCCAATACCCCTTAAATAAGGAATGTACCTTATATTATAGGGGCCTTAATCATATGATTTCAGGGAAATATTCCTTAATTAAGGGGTATTGGGCTCTCTGGGTCTGTCGAGCCTTCTCTGCCCAATTAGCCATCCCTAGCCTTGAAACACGCCCAAAAACTTAATTCTTACTGTTGATGATATAAACCCTGCATTACCTTAAGGACCCTAAACTAAGGGAACTTTGTGACATTCCTTATTATGGGTAATGCAGGATTTATATCATCAACAGTATCATCAAGGGATCATACTAAACCCTTCTAGTTACCCTGCAAAGGAACCCATAAACAACCGAGATTGAAAATACCTTTTGCAGGCCTCTATACCCTAAACCCTAAACCTTGGATCCGACCCTTAGCCCGACAAGAAGTCAGTCACTTCTCAGCTGGACCATTCAATGAAATCTTGGGCGGCACATGCCTTCTTGAGAAGGGTTTGGGGGTTGGGGTTTCGGGTTTAGGGCTTAGGGCTTTCGAAACCCACCAACTTTTCTCGTGTGATGTCCTCCGGGTTCACGGTTAAAGGATGTGGGGTTGAGGGCGCCGTTTGCTGCAGTTGATATTTAGAGTGTAAAATTGTGGATATTGTAGAAGTCGATGAATAACTTCCAATACCTACCATTTCTCAGGGTTCCTACTATGAATGTAGTATCAATCACCAGTATATTTTAGGTTTCATGATGTCGTATAGAACCGGGGGCAGCAGGTGCTGACTGTTCCAGATTTCCTTTCCAAAGCCCTGTTCTTATGAGAAGCTCCTGTAAAGAAGCAGGCCTTACTCTAGGACATTTTCAGGTAGGTAGGTAGTTACGGTTATAGGAGCCTCATAGAAGGTCTATATACCCGATGGAAGCCTTATAGAAGCCCTATATACCCTAAACTCCCCGCCCTATATACCCTAAACTCCCCACCTGTAGTTTCCTTTAACTTACTTAGAGATAAAGAGCAGGTCCTAGGGGAGGTTATCGGGCTCTTTGCGGTCATAGCACATGGCAAGCGGCTTGTCAGCAAGAGCTCACTTGCAAACCGACTCGCCCCAACCGTCACTACCTCCAAGTATGAAACCCCAATCCTTGAACCCTAAACCCGAAGCCCTGAACCCTAAACCCCGAAACCCCTAAACCAATCCTTGAACCCTGAACCCGAAGCCCTGAAACCCTTCAGCCCTAAACCCCAAACCCTAAACCTTTAAACTCTTAAACCCTAAACCCCTAAACCCTTAGACCGCCGAACTCTATAAACCCCAATCCTCGAAGTAAGCCCCACACGTCAGCCCGCAGAGCCCCCGACGCTGGACCTGGGACCACAAATCCCACCACCCTCTCTTTATCCAGTCTTTGGGTTTAGGGTTTAGGATTTAGGGTTTAGCGATTAGGGTTTAGGATTTAGGGTTTAGGGTTCCGAGTTTAGGGTTTAGGGTGTGGCATTTAGGGTTCAGGGTTTAGGGTAGAACACAACAAAAACAAGCCTTAACGATACTAGGAATAACCATACAAACACTGTAATGATGCTAGTAATAGCCATATAAACACAAGAATGCTGATAGTAGTAACCATACAAGAACTAGAAGAGTACTAGCAGAAACAAGAAGATCCCTCCCGCCAGCCCTAAACCCCAAACCCTTTTTCACACCCTCAAACCCTTAAACCCTAAACCCTGAACCCGAAACCCCTAAACCCTTAAACCCTAAACCCCAAACCCTAAACCCTTAAACTCTTAAACCCTAAACCCTTAAACCCTTACACCCTAAACCCCAAACCTTAAACCCCAGACCCTTAAACCCTAAACCCCAAACCCTAAACCCTTCAACCATTGAAACCTAAACCCCAAACCCTAAACCCTTAAAAGTAAACCCTAAACCCTCAAACCCTTAAACAATTAAACCCTTAAGCTCTTAAACCCTAAACCCTTAAACCCTAAACCCTTTAACCCTGAAGCCATTAAACTCCTCAATCCTTAAACCCGTAACCCCAAACCCCTAAACCCCAAACCCTTAAACCCTAAACCAAACTTTAACCCTAAACCTTTAAACCCTTAAACCATTGAACTCTTTAGCCCCAAACCCTAAACCCTTAAACCTAAACCCTAAACCCTCAAACCCTTAAACCCTGAAACCCTCAAACTTAAACCCTAAACCTTTAGACTCTTAAACCCCAAACCCTAAACCCGTAAACCTAAACCTTAAACCCTGAAACCCTAAACCCTCGAACCCTTAAATTCTTAAACCCTAAACCCTAAACCCTTAAACCTTAAACCCTAAAACCCTGAAAGGATGGGCCGGCGCTCGCTGGGGCCCAGCCTGACGAAGATCTCGAAGGTGGCACGTCTCTGCTTTTGGGGTTTAAGGGGTTTAGGGTTTAGGGTTTAGGGTCTCTGCTTAGGGGCCTTAAGAATTAGAATAGGGGTTCCTTTTATAAGGCCTACTATAAGGAAGCTATAAGGGTAGGTTAAGGGTTCCTTTAAGTGCTACCTCATTTGGGTTTAAGGGTTTAGGGGTTCAAGGGTTTGGGGTCTCTGCTTAGGGGTTTTGGGGTTTGAGGGTGGTCAAGGGACTAAAGGAGGGACCCTCAAAGGGACTCTTTGGGTTTAAGGGTTTTGGGGGGTTTAGGGAGTTAAGGGCGTAGGGTTTTAGGGTTTTGTGGGTTTAGGGGGTTAAGGGTGTAGGGTTTTTAGGGTTTTGGGGGTTTAGGGTTTTAAGGGTGTAGGGTTTTTAGGGTTTTGGGGGTTTAGGGGTTTAAGGGTTTAGGATTTAGGGTTTTGGGGTTTAAGGGTTTAGGGGTTTAGGGGTTTAGGGGTTTAAGGGTTTTGGGTGTAGGGGTTTAGGGGTTTTGGGAGTTAAGGGTTTAGGGGTTTAGGGGTTTTGGGGTTTAGGGGTTTAGGGGTTTAAGGTTTTGGTGTTTAAGCTTTGGGGTTTAAGAGTTTGAGGTTTTGGGGTTTAGGGTTTAGGGCTCGGCTGTGGGGTTTAAGGTTTGGTTCTGAGAGGAGTTGGGTCTGTTTTGTGCAGGGGTGTGAGGGATGCTCGGGGGGCCTCGAGCTTTTTGAGTAGCTGCGACAGGCTCAAGTATCTCTGGTTAAGCTTGGCATGACTGTTGGTATTGCTACTACCGATGTTACGAGTGTTTAGGGCTTAGAGCTTGTATTGTTGCTATTCTTGTTAATATTACTACAGCTGGCTCCATGCCCTGAAAAGTAAACCCTACCTAAACCCTAAACCCTAAACCCCTAAAGCCCCAAAGCCCCAAAGCCTTGAACCCCTAAACCCTAAGCCCGAAGTCTTCTTAAGCCCTAAAGCCCCGATATTACATGATTGGAATGCGGTATGTCATGCTATATTTATAAAAAGGAACCCCCAAAAAAATAGTATAGGTATTTATTTGGGCCACTACATTAAGTCTCCTTAAACCTTAAACCGTACACCCTAAGCCTTAAACCCTAAACCCTTTATCTTGAAACCCTGAGTTTTCTTAAACCCTAAACCTTTTATCCTTAAACCCTGAGTTTTCTTAATCCCTAAACCCTAAGCCCTAAGCAGGAGACGCTCCGGAGACCCACGCAGAAGCTCGAGACGATGCGGGCACTCGAGATGACTCCATCGAAGCTCGGCTCCTGCTTCTGCGTAGCGCAGGGTTTAGGGTTTAGGGTTTAGGGTTTGTAGGGTTTAAGGTTGAGGATTTAGGGTTTAGGGTTTGAAGGGTTTAAGGTTGAGGATTTAGGGTTTCAGGGTAGTGTGCTTAATAGTTTCGGGTTTTGGGGTTATTGGGTTCCTTTAAAGGGTTCCTTAAAGGTTCTATAAGGGCTACTAGACTATAACGGCTTGGGGAATATACTTTATTTATTATAGGTATAGCATAGTATACCCCAGAATACAATCATATAGAAGCCTCAAAGGGATCTAAAATAAATTATAGTATACTCTACCCCAAAACCCTATTCTAATTATTAAGGCCCCTACATTATTATTGGGTTTGCAGTGCAGGGTTTAACGGTTTAGGGTTTAGGGTTTAGGGTTTTGGGTTTAGGGTTTAGGGTTTAGGGTTGTTTAAATGGATCAGCTTAAAGGGCTACTATGAGGGTTTCTAGAATGGGTTGCAGGTTTAGGAGTTGAGGCGCTGTATATTGAAGATTCCAGAAGAATTGTATATATTTACTATAGTTATAGTAAGGAACCCCAAAATAGTATGCTGTATATTAAAGATTCCTTAATAATGATATATATTTAGTACAATTATAGTAAGGAACCCCCCAGTATTGGTAATTAGTTAGGCCCCTATATGAGGCGAGTGTTTCCAGAGGTTTACAAGGCTTTAGGGTTGGCGATTTGGGGAGGGCGGGGGGGACTTGGGTTCGGTGAAAGGGTTTAGGATTCAGGCCTAGGGGTTTCACGTCGTGTCGGGGCCTTACGGGTTCCCTTTTAAAGGGGTCTATAAGGGTAGGGGTTTAGGGTTTAGGGTTTAGGGGTTTAGGGGTTTAGGGGTTTAGGGGTTTCGGGTTCAGGGGCCCAGGGAAAAAGGGGTTTGGCGTAAAGGATTTCGGGGTTTATGGTTTAGGGTTTAAGGTTTACAGTGAAAGTGGGTCTTTTAGGCTTATCATCATCGCAGCCCTACTTTAGTTTAGCACTGCCAACTACGTCCCCCGATCCTCCAGAAGGTCAATGTTACTGTAGGGGCCGTGATTTCTTGCCTATACTATGTTGGGGGTCCCGTATCTTCATTTTGGTATAACATACCCCAAAACCCTATTCTAATTATTACGACTTCTACATTAGGGCTTAGGCTTCCTAATCTTCAAAGGACAATCCAGCTTTTC